CTGTGGGGGACATGTGGAGGGGCTGCAAGGGAAGGTGACTCTTGCCTCTCTCATCTCCCCCGAATAAGCAAGCATCCTCAGCCATCCTGAAAATTTGGAGCAGAACTTTCAAGGAGTCTTCCCCAGCACCCAGGTTCAGACTAGCCCCTCCTTAACCCCATCCTTGGCCCAGTTGGCTGTAGGCCTACCCCAGGGCTGGCACCGGAGCCCAGAGGCTCCTCTCCAAGCTGGTGGCTCTGCCCCAACCCTTCCCTCCGGTCTTGGCTTACTCTAGTCACTCTGGCAGCTGTCCCCATTGTGGCTGACATTCTGGAGCTCCTCCTTCAAGACTGTCTTCACCTTCTCATACTCGCTCTCCAGCTGGAGGCTAAAGGGCACCACAATGCTGCCATTCCTGAGGGGATCGAGAAGGTTGGGTGTCTTACAGGGTGCCCAGGCCTGGGGCACACAGGTCTTTAGAAGGTCACCTCCAGGACCAACCACAAGTGCACTGGTGTGAGAGGAAGGCAGAGGCAATGAGTTGGGATTCCAGACACATTATTTTCAGGACCCACCAGCATCCCTGACTTGGTCAGCCTGGAAGGCAGGACAAGGAATGATTGACATTCTCCTGCCTTGCATCAAGCCATTATCAAACCAGGCCCTCCTGGGCACTTTGCCTCACTCGGGCTGACCACTCAGCAGGCCGGGTGCCAGCCAGAGAGAAACCAGCTACTGTCCAGACACCAGGCTTCCCATAAGCCTTTATGCACCACCTCCCTGCATGTCCCATGTAATCTCTCTCTTTCCAACCATGCTTCAAAAGGAAGGTGGCATCTCTCCTACAGAGAAATGACTACAGAAAATGATCCAAAAAATTCCCCATGGAGTTATTAGTTCCCCTATGTCTTACCTCCACCTCTCTCTTTTTGAAATCTGATTGATTCCAAAAGGAAAGGATGGCTTCTCCATTCCCCCACCCTTCATTCTCCTTCCCCCACCCAACACTACCTCCATAGCCCCAAAAGGGTCTCCTGCCTCAGGGACAGGATCTCCACATCCTTGAATCCTTGCACATTTTGGTAAATCTTCTGCATCCGAAATGCCAGGATCCTTGCACTTCCACTTGCACCTGAACCTCGTGACCTGAGTGCACCCAGATGCCCAAGCTCAACTTCAAGGAAAGACCCTTGAGTTCCCTCCCCTTCCCCGTCACCTGATCCCAGAAGGTGTCGCTGAAATCCTCGTAGGCCTTGGAAGTGTTGTCATTGAGGTCAGGGGAGATCTCCTGGTCAACAGACACCTCCATATCCCCTTCAGCACCCACAGTGTCTGCGCACAATATGCCCTGTTCTGGTCACTTCACCACCATTGCCAACACCACAATCCAGAGGTTCATCCCATCACTCCTCTCCATGTTCCCTGAAGACTGAATGAATGGTAAGAGGAAAGGAGATAGGACTTCTAGGATAAGTTGTGCCAAGGTGAGGGAAAGGTTAGAGGTAAGGAGGCACAGCAGTCAGACCTGTGGTCTCTCCCTTGTCTGCCTCAGTGGGAGGCAGAATGATGGCTCCCAAAGATGCCTATGTCTTAGTCCCCAGAACCTCTGGATATGTTATGCTGCATGGCAAGGAGGAATCAAGATCGTATGTAGATTAAAATTGCTAATCGTCTGACTAAAATGGGAAAATTAACGTGGATTATTGGGTGGGCTCAACATAATCACAAGAGTCCTTAACAGTGGAAGAGAAAGACAGGAGGTCAGAATCAGTCACAAGAAAATGTGACTACAGAAGAAAGACACAGATGGGGCGCCTGGGTGGCTCAGTTGGTTGAACATCTGACTTCAGCTCAGGTCATGATCTCGCAGTTTGTGAGTTCGAGCCCCACGTCAGGCTCTGTGCTGACAACTCAGAGCCTGGAGACTGCTTCCGAGTCTGTGTCTCCATCTCTCTCTGCCTCTCCCCTGCTCATTCTCTGCCTCTCTCTCTGTCAAAAATAAATAAACTTTAAAAAATTTTTTTGAAAAAAAAAAAAAAAGAAAGACACAGAGATGAAATGTTGCTGGCTTTGAAGATGGAGAGAGGGAGCCTTGAGACCAGGAATGTGAGAGGCTTCAGAACCTGAAAAGGGCAAAGAAATGGATTCTCCCCTAAAGCCTTCAGAGAAGAACACAGCCCTGCTGACACCTTGATGTTAGCCCAGTAAGACTCACGTTAGACTCCTACTCTACAGAATTGTAAGATAATAAATTTGCATTATCTCAGCCGCTAAGTTTGTAATAATTTGTTACAGTGGCAATTAGAAGTTAATACAGCTCCAAGCAGCCCAGACTGGGAGGAGACCACAGGAAGGAGTGTGGTCCAACCACCTCCTGGAGGTGAGGGTGAAAAAGAGGCATGAGATGAGGTAGAGGGAAGCATGAGAGAGAAGGCAAGAATGGCAGAATTAGACAAAATGGCATGAATACTAACAGGTAACCGCAGGGCTGGGCCCAGAGAGAGCCAGTGGCACCTCCCAGGAGAAAGTGCAAAAGGCAGGGCTCTGACAACTCACCCAGATCCACCTCTTCCACCACAAACTCCAACAGTAGCCATGGAAGATGCTAGGGAAGTGGCACTTGAGGCCATCCCATTTACCTCCATTCTGGCACCTGATCTCCTGGAGCTCACAGTGGTCCCCAGAGAACCCCAAAGGGCAGTGGCATAGGCCTAGCATCCAGGTGCCACCATGGTCACAGGTGCCTGGGCAACACAGTAAGAAAGGGAAGTTCAGGATAGGGTTTGCCCTTGGTGACACAGAAATTTATTAGGGGAGAAAGGAGATGGAACAGGGAAGCAGTAGGTCCAACCTGAGGTGTAGTCAGTCTAGACTGTGTGGTCATCTGAGTAGTGGTTGAAGTTGCCCTGGGTGACATAAGGGTGGTGGCAGTCTGAGAGATGACTACCGGTGTTTCTGGAATCTTGATGGTGGGTGGGGTGGAGTGAGTCAACTTGATTGAAGTCACCATGGCAGTTGGAAACCTGCTGCTTGGTTTCATGGTCAGTGGGAGGCTCATGAAGCCAGGCATATGTGGGACGGTTACAGAATTGGTGCTCATCCAGCTTCCACTGGTGGGTCTTTGAGTGCTTATCAAAACCGTGTAACTGGGGACAGTCCCAGTGCTGATAGAACTAGGAACATCCATTATGCTGTCGGTAGGATGAGTTTCCAGAACGGAAGCAGAAGTGTCCGTATGCCTAGGAAACACAGTTGTCATACTGGTGGAACTAGGGGAGGTAGCCATCTCAGTAGTAGAGGCGAACACTGACATTGGGATGTTAGGCATCGAAGTAACTTCACTACTTGGACGCATTTCCATACATGAAGTAGTGAGAGAGGCAGGCACTATCGTAACTGATATAGATTCTGGACATGGGGTAGTAGAAGAAATAAAACAAGTGGTGGTTGTTTCAGTCGCAAAGGTCTTTTAGAGAAGACATGGTTGGAGAAGTTCTTGTAGTTTCGGATGAAAAAAGAGTAGTGAAAGCAGTGACAGAAGTCCCTGTATTTTCCATACCAGAGAGAGGTGAGAATGTAGGAAGAGAGTTAGGGGTGGTCGTGAGCATTGAATTTACACTGGCGGAGGATAAGGAAGAGGACATTATTGTTGTGGATATTGAAAAGGGAATAATAGTACCGAAAGAAGTATTTAGCGCGTTTGTAGATGTAGTCAGAGTAGGGAAAGAAAGTGTAGGAGAAACACAAGATGTACTGTGTGATATTGTGGGGGTGGGTGTTACCAACATTCTAGTAACAGTCATGGCTGTTTCTGGGGCAGAGAAAGTGGGTGAAGTGGCTGTGCTCGAGGTAGCAGAGATAGAAGTGTTTGTGGGAGTGGTGATTTCAGTTGTGGCCATGGTGACTGTAGGGGTGAATGCAGCATGGGTACTAGGGAAGGTAGTAATCAAGGTGGATAAAGGGGTAGTGTTTGTTGTCAAAGAGGAGACTGACTGCGGTTGGGGCAGGTGGAGAAGATAGACTCGTACTCATGGCTGATGTCACAGTATTGGTGGTGACTGGAGTAGAGGTGATAAATGTCAGAGAATTGACCATATTCATGGGAGTGATTGATGATGCAGTTGCAAGAGGAGAAGTAATCTCCATGGTGAGAGACTGTGTCCAAACATCCCCAGTATGAGTAAGTGTGGTTTTCCAGGTGGATGTGGCATGAGAGGGTGTGACAGTCACCTTGCCTGTGTATGTAGTAAATCTAGTAGAAGAGGGTCGTCCTGTGGTCGGGGATGCTGTGTGTGTGTCAGTGGTAGTGGGTGCCAGGGTGGATTTAGCATCTGTGTGTGATGTATTTGTGCTCGTTGCGGTTGAGGTAGTACTCTCTGTCCGAATGGTCCCATTGCTGCTGGTAGACGTGGAAGATGAGCCTGCATATGTAACTGGAGTGTGTGTAGCAAGGGTGGGAGGGGGAGTGCTGTGGGTACTTGTGAGCATGGGCGCCATAGTAAGCCTTGTGGAAGAGGTTGTGATGACACTGCATGTTGTGTCTGTATTTTGGGCGGCTGGGGGAGATGGGATGATACATGTGGGGATTGTGGACATTTTGAAAATAGTGCTTGTAGAGGTGAGGTCAGGAATGGTAATGAATGAACCATTGGTACCCCTGGACGTGGGGGTGATGGTTGTCAGTGTTGAGGCAGGCATGCCTGTACTAACAGAGGATGAGTTTATGGTGACGGCTAACCTCGGGGTACCAGTGGTGGGAGATGGGGTTATTGCTGATGTGGTCGTGCTTCCTGTAGAGTGGATATTTGAAGAAGTGACTCCTGGAGGACTGTGTGGTATTTTAGGGGTGGTTGTTGTTACCAAGATTGTAGTAGCAGCGGAAGCAGTTTCTAGAGTGGAGGAAGTGGGCAAAGAGGCTGTGTTCAAGGTGGCAATGGTGGAAGTGTTGATAGGAGTGGTGATTTCAGTTGCAGCTATGGTGTCAGTACTAGTGGGAGATGTAGGGGTGGACATGGTGTGGGTTATAGGGAGTAATAATCAAGGTAGATATAGGGGTAATGTTTGTGATCCAACTGGAGACTGGTTTTGTGGATGGGGCAGGTGGAGAAGACAGACACATACTCGTGGCTGATGTCAAGGGATTGGCGGTCACTGGGGTAGAAGAGGTTGATGTCAGAGAATTGACTGTATTCCTGGGAGTAATTAATGATGCGATTGTGGGAGGAGAAGTAATTTCTGTCATGAAAGACACTGTGGAAATGTCCTGTGTAGGAATAAGTGTGGTTTTCCAGGGGGTGTGGCATGAGGTGTGATGGTTGTCTTCCCCGTGTGTGTAGTGGCTGCAGTGGAGAAGTGTGGTTCTGTGGTTGTGAATGTCATGTGGGTGGTAGTGGGTTCCAGGGCGGTTTCAGAGGTGGTAGATGTGGCAGAAACAGTTGTATTTGTTGGGGTGATTGATGACATGCCTGGAGAAGTTGAAGGAGTTTCTGTCATGTAAGCTTCATTTCCGTGGAGCTCATTGTTTTCAAAGCGATTGTTGTTGGTGTACTTAGCGTGGCAGTCACTTCAGTGGAAGCAGATACACTTTGTGTTGTAGGTGTTGTTGATACACTTGTTGATGTGGGATCATGAGTGGTGGCAGTCGCTGTTTTAAATGTAACGGTGGTGTTAGGAAGTGAAGTGGTGGTCATAATCAAGACGGTACTGGCGATGGGTGAAGAGCTGTGATCAGTTACTGTTGCCGAGATGTTCGTGGCAGTTAGAGAAGGGGCAATAGAGGTAGAAGCGATTATTGGGGTAAGAGACCTGGTTGTATGAATGCTTGCTGTGGTCAGGCTAATCCTGTTTGTGTTACCCGTTGTAGAGGATGTGGGCATATGGAAGGTTGTGTGCGTGGTTGGGACAGAGGAAGAGAGTAGGGCCATGGCTGTGAGAGTCTTCCCCAGAGTGGTAATGGTCATGGGAGGAGAGATCACGGCAGAGGTGAGTCTCTTGGTGGTAGTTGGGGTCATGCAGGTGGTGGCAGGGTAAGCAGCAGTGATTATAAGGCTCGTGGGATTGATACACTTTATGGTGCTCGTGTAGACAATGAGGGTGGGTGGAGTGGTTTCAGCCTTGATGACAAACTTGGACATTGGGATGGTTGAGGTGTTGGTCTTGACTGTAGTTTTGAGCACTGCTTCAGAAATAGGTTTAAAGTAGGGGAAGTGGTGGAAATTTTAAGTGTGCGTTCCCTACTGTTGGCAGCTGGAGAGGCCCTGCTGGGGACGGTGAGTGGCCACCTTGCTGTGCCTTTGGAGCGTGGGGAGTTGCTGAGAGCGGTGTGAGCCACTCCTGCTCCGGGGAGAAGCTCAGCGGAAGTGCATGCGGCCGTGGGGAAAGTGCCTGTATTGACGAGAGAACAGAGGGATTCATTTGCAGGTTGTTTCATTACTCTAAACACCATGTAAGCTTTTTACTACCATGCCATTTTCCAGATATGTTTCGCAGAAGGTAGGAAGTTCCATTGCTTGTCCCTCCATCAGAGGCAGCTTGGGGCTAGGGCCTTTGAGGTTCTGAAGAGGGTGCCCTCGGCCTCTTGCCCTCCTCTTCTGAGTGGGAACTTTCTAGCCCTGGGATGGCTGTGCTGAACATGCAGGTTCAGCTGAGGGTCCTTCCACCCCACCCCTTTCTCCACACATGCATGTTTCCCTTACTCTGTTCCTTCCTCTTCCACCACCTGCTGCCCATAGTCCCACCCTCTGGCTCTCCGCTGTCCTTCTCCCTATGACACACTGCTGTCTGGGCTAACTTTCCTCTTCCAAGGGAGCCCAGCCAAGCCCAGGCTGGGGGTGGGAACACATCATAGACACAGGGGCCATTGGGTCAGAGAGGGGAAATCTGCACGGAGAGCTGCAAAGGGAAAACCAGAGACTGAGGCTCAGACTTTATTGAGATTGAAGGACAGGGAGAGAGGACCACACTAGTAGGCCAAGAGACTGGACAGAGAAGGAAGCTTCCAGAAAATGATGACTGAACAGATAGGCATGGGTCCCAAAAATCTGAAGGTTTTGCAGTAAGTGTTAACGAAAACAGACATATTTTCTATCACCCACTTTATTTTGACCACTGGGTTAATTAGTTTACAAACATAAACTCCTCACTCCATAGATAATCATCAACCCCATTTTACAGGGGGTAAGAGTGAGGGTCAGAGATCTCATAATGCTGGGGCAGAGTGGCGGGGAGACTCCTGCAGCCACAGTGGTTGCAAGCAGGAAGTGCCCAGACCTCCTCAGCATCAGCCTCCTCTTCACCTTGGACTCAATACATCTTTGTTCTGAGAGCTGGGGTTTCATTTCTCAGCCTAGCTGGGTGTGTCAGGGAGATGGGGGTGAGGATTATGAAGATCCCTGGGTTGGAGCTTCTAGAGCCAGGAGGTAGCCTTAGAGGTAAGTGAGAGGATGGCCTGTGGGCTCCTAGGTTAGGAAGGTCTAGGATTGGGGTCCAGGAGCAGACCCCAGGAGACAGAGGAAAGGGAAATACAGAGGAATTGTGGGGTTTCTAAGGAATAGAAGAGAGAAGGCCCTGGACCTCACACTGGATGGTACACACCCAACCTTTTGGAAGCAATCAGTATCCCTCCCCAACCCAGCCCTGCCAATGACAGCTGTGCCCAGAAACATGGGCTGGGTGGGGGATGGGAGAGATAGGGACAGAGCTGGAGGAGGGGACAGAGATCAAAGGCAGAGACGTCTCCAGAGAGAGGAGACGTCTCCAGGGGCAGAGTCAAGGCTATCATGGAGAAAGCACCACCAGAAGTAAAGGAAGAGTCCAGAGAGGAGGGAGCACTGGGGCTGGTGGGGGGAAGGACAGAAGAGATGTGGGGCTCAGGAAACCAAATCAAAGTGGGAAGAGCACTCTTCCGGAAAGAGGTTATGCCCACCCTCCAGATGCATGCACCTGCCACCTGCCTGGTCCTGGATGGAGAGCGGCACCAGCTGGACCCGGCTTCCTTCCTCCTCCCCCTTCTCAGTGCCCCCTGCACACAAAGCTCTGAGGAATCCCTCCTGAGCCTCCCCTTAGGCTTCAGAGTCACTTCCCCCCACACACGCCTCTGCCCTGGAATATCCAGAGGGTCGCTGCAGCCCTTTTCCCGCCCGCCCCCCTCACCTCTGGCCCCCGTGGAGGCCCTGAGCACCCTGAGGAAGTCGAGGAGCCTGAGCAGCTTTATGGGTCTGGTGCAGCGACAGAGCAGGAGCCAGAACCGGGGGCAGCTACGGGAAGCAGCCCTTCGCACAGAGCAGCACCCAGCAGGAACTGAAAGGCACGGTTAGCTACCCTGCTGGACATGGGGGCCAAGCACAGGTTCACCTCTGCACCACCCACCTCACTCCTCTCTCCCCCTCCTCCAGGTATCTGACCTCACTGCTGTGGGAAGGGAAGACATCAAGGAGACAAGACTAGCCCAGGAGGTGTCAGATGGGGAGAGCTGCTGGGAGCCCAACCCCCAGCCTACCTGGGCCACTCAGAGCAGTTCCTTGGACCCTACCTTTCCCCTCCCCAGCACCACCCCCCTCCCAAGAAGCAGCAAAACTGGATGGGGAATACACTTGGTCAAGACCTTGGACTCTGGAGTCTGGGGCTGACTCTCACAGCCTTTCCTTATTTTCAGTCCCAGCTGCAGGAGAGAGAGGTGAAAACTTGTTCCCCTCACTCCCTCTGCCCCTTTCTCTTCCCTGTCTCCATCCTGCTCTTACCACGACTTGGACTGAAAGCCTACAACCAAAGCTCATGAGTTCGAGCCCCACATCAGGCTCTGTGATGACAGCTCAGAGCCTGGAGCCTGCTTTGGATTCTGTGTCTCCCTCTTTCTCTGCCCATTCCCTCCTCTCTCCCTCTCTCTCTCTCTGTCTCAAAAACAAACAAACATTTAAAAAAAGAGACATTTCCAGATAAACAAAAGCTGAGAGAGTTCATGACCACTGACTTGTCCTTCAAGAAATGTTTCAAGGAGTCCTCCAAGGTGAAATTAAAGTCAAGACACAGAAATGAGCAGAATGGGTAAAAACTCACGCTCCAACTGTGTCTACAAGAGACTCGCGATCCAAGAGACAAACGATCTCTACTGAGATCACTGTTGAAAGTGAATAGTGGTTCCAGAGGCTGGTGAGAAGGGGGTGGGGGGAGAAAACGGGAAATTGTTATTGAATGAGCATAGAATTTCAGTTTTACAAGATGAGAGGAGCTACACAGATGGGTGGTGGTGACGGTTGCCCAATAATGTGAATGTACTTAATACCACTGAACCATACAGTTAAAAATGGGTGAGATGGTAAATTTTATGTTATGCATATCTTACCACAGTTTTTAAAAATGAATGCTTACTATCAGTAAAAAAAGCCAGTAACAATAATAATTTCAAACATAAGGTAATGCAGGCTGCTTCCCAGGAAAGTGGATTCTTCCATGGAAGTCCCATTCAGTCAAGAAATGGCTTTCCCATGTGAATTCAGACCAGGAGGTGACGTCAGCTCCAGCACAAGGTGACACAGTTAGATGGTGCCTCTGTTCCGGTGACCTGAAGAGTGAAGGGGGTCCAGAAAGCTCGGAGGAGGTAGAGGTGGGTGTAGGAAAGGACTTGAGTCCAGGGGCAAATATTTGAAGGCAGAGATCAAAGTGCCATTCGCCACAATTGGGGGTTTCTCTACAAAGAAAAGAATATAAAATTCCATACAGTAATCCCTCAGGCCTTGGAGTCTTCGCCGAGGGGAACCCTGTGAATCCTTCTCTTTTTTTGAGACCCGAGACTTGCGGGGCAGGGACTGGGCCGGGGGATGGCTGGCAAGCTCACCTATGCCAGGCTCACTGGGAGCTGCTTGAAGGTGTGTGCCTGTCACATCTCACGGGCGAGCGCGTCACGACCCAGAGTCGCTGAAGGAATTGCAAACATGGGGCACTGTGGGTACTCACCAAGCAGGGCTGGCTAAGCACCAGACACGCACCTGGCCTCTTTGGGTCGCGCTGCATCTTTCTCTGGCCTCTGAGTGCGTGTGTGTGTGTGCGTGTGTGCATGTGTGCGTGTGTGCGGTCAAGTTGGGGAAGTGAGCAAAGGAATAAAAAGATAAATCAGCCAGAGGAGGGCGTGCCCAGGGCTGGACAGCAACCCAGCAGAGGAGGCTCGGGGTAAGGAGCCCACAGGGAGCTGAGCCCTTCTTGGGATCCTCCACTTCGATTTCTTTTTTTTTTTTTTAATTTTTTTTTCAACGTTTATTTATTTTTGGGAGAGACAGAGCATGAACGGGGGAGGGGCAGAGAGAGAGGGAGACACAGAATCGGAAACAGGGTCCAGGCTCTGAGCCATCAGCCCAGAGTCTGACGCGGGGCTCGAACTCCCGGACCGCGAGATCGTGACCTGGCTGAATTTGGACGCTTAACCGACTGCGCCACCCAGGCGCCCCTCCACTTGGATTTCTTAACATCTTTGACCAGTTGGCACAATACGAAAACGTTTGTTTTCGGAAAGGTATTCGTTGTTTTTCAGAAGAGTCTCCGCGGGATGGGATTTATGGTCAAGCACCAGTGTTGGGAACAAAGCACAATATGCCAGTCACTGTGCTGAGGACACAGAGGCGAACGGACCCTGCTGCAGGGGGTCACCGGGCTCCCGGGGAGATGGGTCCCAACCCAGCATCAGGCCCCTGATTCCTCCCCATCCACCCTTTCATTTTACCTCCCTCTGCTACCCGACTTGCTTCTACTCCAGCCAACGAGCTTCTTCGTCTCAGGCCTTCCTACCCTCAGGCCTTTGCCTGAGCTGTTTCCTACGCTAGTAACACCCCGTCCACCTCCCTTTCTCTTCCTCTCAGCCTAGGAAAACCCTTACGGCTCTGCTTCTTTCCCTCCTCCACCAGGAAGCCACGTGTGATCAGGAAGTGACCTCTCTCATTCCCGAAATGCAATGGTGCTTGCTACCGACATCTCTCCCGTGGCACTTAATAATCATTTAGTGGCAGGTATTAGTCATCTGAACGCCTCCCCGGGAGGGGAAGGTGACACCTGTGCATTCTGAGCTGGGGCAGTGGCCACTTTGCCTCCCGAGCTCGCGGAGCCCCACCTGACCAGGGGAAGGGACAGTCCCTCGAAAACTGCTGGAGGCAGTCCCCTTGCTGCCGTTGGAGAATGCCGCCTCCCCATGCTGGGCCCCAGCCTTCGTGAGAAACCTGGAAAGGAAGCAACACGGCAGCAACCGCCTCAGCCACTTGTGCCACCGTGCTACCCTGGGGCTGGGAGGCGCCACTGCGTCAGATTTAGCCTTTCTGGAGGCCGCGCATGTACAACCGAGACCCAGAGGGGGCTCCAGAAATGAAAATGGCCCCGGGCAGGGTTTGAGACAGACAAGAAGCCTTCTGGGGAGAAGAGGCAGAGGTGGGCAGACTGGGGCTGAGGCTAGTGAGGTTAGCCCCATCATTGGTGACACCTACCAAGTGACCCCTTTCCAGCACCAGCACCTCACCCCACAGGCCAGGTGACATTAAAGTGCAGTTCATGGGAAAACAGTGAGGGGCACTGGCCTCTCTCCAAGGTCCCACCATTGTCACAGGTACCTGGGGGAAGACACGAATCCGGGAAAGTAGAGGCTGGAACCACCCCCCAAAAGCCAATGTTTAGGGACAAAGTGTAAAAATAAGACCAAGGGCAGGTCACTCCCTCTCTCCCCGCGAGTGAGTCAGGCTTGCTGGAGAGGTTAGGTCAAAGTGCTCACCGTCCCCTGCACTGTGTCATAATCTGAATTGTGGTAGCAATTATCACGGATGGCGTCAGGTAGTAGGAGTCAGGTGCTGACCACAGTTGTCTCTGAAGTCATGATGAGTGGGGAAGGGGGCGCCGATTTGGATGATGGCAGGTGAAAAGCTGATACTCGGCTTTGAGACGAGTGGAACCAGTGATTAGTCAGGAGACACCAGGTGATGCTGAGATAAACAATCCTAAAGACCCAGTGGCTTACGCAGCAAAGGTTTCTTTCTCACTCATTCTCCTCGTCCACCCTAACATCTGTGCTCTTCACTCAGGGACCCAGGCTGACGGAGCAGCCCCTATCTGGGACACTGCAGTCTCACAGCAGTGCGAAATGACAGATGACAAAGCCATGGGCTGGCTCCTAAGGCTTCTTTGCAGACATGACCCTCATACCTTCCATGCACACTCTGTTGGCCAAAGCAAGTCACAAAGCGAGTTGCCCTGAGTTTGAAGGACAGGAATGTCTCCTCGGGGAGAGGCACCACGCTTCTGATGCCAAGCCTGCTATCAGTGGGGTGGGGAGATATAATCCACTCCAGGGAGGGAAAACAAATATACTGAACAATGACAACCTATCACAGCTGGGATCCTGGTGGTAGCTGTGGTTTATCGGCGACCCTGGCAGATAGGACCAAGTCCCCGGCTGGTCTTTGGGTGCTTCTCAGAGCTGTGTTAATGGAGATGATAGAATCTGAGGTGCCGATGGGCTCAACCCAGTAGTCAAGGTTATGGGAGAACTACCCATAGTGAAGGAGAGGAAACTCCTATAATGGAGAAACTGGACGCTGCAGCTATGTCAGAAAAGTGGGGGGAGGCCCCTCCCCCAGAACCGAGGAGATTTGGCAATGTGCTCACAGAAGCCCTGGAAGTGGGAAGGAGGTACCTTCAACACGGGGTCCTGTGTGAATATGTGGCATGGTGTGAGGAGCAGAGACGGTAACATCTGGTGTCATTTCTGGACACTTTGTAGAAGAGATTAAGACAAGGGCGCCGGGGGGTGGGGTGCTCAGTCGGTTAAGCATCCAACTCTTGGTTTTGGCTCAGATCATGATCTCGCAGTGTGTAGGTTCAAGCTCCGCGTCAGGCTCTGTGGAATTCTCTCTCTTCCCCATGGCTCTCTGCCCCTCCCCCAGTTGAGCTCACACTCTCTCTCTCTCTCAAAATAAGTAAATAAACTTTTAAAACAAGAAGAGGGGCCCCTGGGTGGCTCAGTCAGTTGAGCCTCCGACTTTAGCTCAGGTCATAATCTCACAGTTTGTGAGTTCAAGCCCCGCATCAGTAATGGTGGGAGATGGGAGAATATATATATATACACATACACACATATATATATATAAAAATGATTACCACACAAGTGTAGTTAACATCC